CTTGTCTCAATCCTTCTCCGGATCTGCGGGCAGACGCTAAGACATCATGGGAGTCGCAGAGAAGGAGAAGGCAGAAAAAGCAAGCAAGGGAGAGGGCAATCAAGCAAAAGATGGAGAACAGCCACACTAGACTTTTAGTTCGATAGATAGTTGTCGGTGGAGAGGCCCTTGATTTCCCATCAGCTCTTCTTTGGTGTTGGAAGCGGAATATTTGTTTGCCTTTCTGTGTGATATCGACCATTTTGGCTGCAACGCAGACTGCACTTAGGGCCGACACACAGCAGAGGACCAAGCGACCAGTTCCAGCCTTCTGGTGTCACTAATGATGACAGTATCCACAGTCTATGGATGCCAAATCCCCCGAGCCAGTCAAGTAAGACGAAAAGTGGAGCTGCGCGATAGATCGACGAGTTATTCCAAGACTCTTCGCCTCCCTTTGGTTGGGCGCAGATGTGGATTGGACTATGCATATGGTTTGATGTTTGCATATCTCATACGTACACAACGTATGGAACACAGTACTTTTCTTCGCCTCCGACAGTACAGTACCTGTGCCCCCAAGCCTGAAGAGAGATCTTTGATACAATGCGTACCCTCAGTGTACCCAAGAAATCTGGAGGGATGGCAGATGCAGGCAGATCGTGGGTCCTGGATGGGTGTTTTACTCTCTTGACACTGGAGCGGAGCTGTCAATCCCCTTTCCCCCCGGCGCAGAGCCCAGGAGGGCTGCAGCAGGGATTATCTCCGGTCACCTTCTCAATGTCCAACACTTTCCCCTGGGGTTGGCATCTCCATCTCTCCACCCTGGCAAGGGCACTTCTAGCTTCTGTCGTACAAGGCAGGGACTAGACATTCGCTCAACATGAGTGCCAGAGAGCAAGGGATACGAGTGACCCGCGAGGCTTCAGTTGGAAAGGGAGAGAGGGGAAAGTGGAGCAATCCCATAATCCCAGTCTCTATAAGACTGTCTGAGGTACTCCGTACGTATTGTGAAATACTTTGACACTCCCTTTCTTGGTCGTGGCGATCTGTCATTTACCTCTTCTCTGGGTCTGCACGGAGATGAGCCACATGAAGTAACGGACCTGCAGGGGAGGGGGGTGGAGAGGGGGAGAATGGGGGAACAAAGTACCGAGCAATGGGTCTTCGTGTAGCCGTGCAGTACGGAGTACAGTGCGACCCGTGAGTTGACATGAAAAACAATGCAGGTCGAGAAATTGCGGTTGCTTGATTAATTGCATCGATTAATTGTGGTCATTGGCTCGAAACGCCGAAGGTAAATAAAGAAGTGATAGATCACATCCGCTAATGCGCCTAAGCCTTCGAACAGGAAAAGAACCAACCAGCGCCAATACTACCAGTCGCTATTAAGTTAGATGATTTTGGTTGACTCACTCCTTTGGTCGCATTGTTGGGCTTCAAAACTTGTTGATTGTTGGAGAGACAGGCCAATTGGCCACAATGATGCTTGTTTAAGGGAAACAAGCATGTTGTTTGGCATATGCAGTGACTATCACAGCCGTGACTGCAGCCATAGTCTCACTTCAGGCCGCATCAATTGGCTGATCGGTGCCTCCTTCTCCTGGATTGGCCAGACAGGTGATCTTAGCCGACATAGAACGCCACGTCTGTCGGTATTGAAAGATTCAAACTCTGTCCGTCGATAGTATAATTCAATGGACTATCAAGGCTCCTGGGTAGGCGATACGACGAGCTCTGAGCGCATCCAAGTGCTCAACAGGCAATGGCGACGCCTAGGGTTTCGGCTGGCTCCCAGTTTCGACAACTACACCAAATAACTACTCCTTCCATTGGCAGGGCTCATATCTACTTTGTACTTCGATGATTCATGTCCGAATCGACGAGAAGCAGCGCTAGGCAGTGTATCGCCATGAGGTGAGACCGTGCCGGGGGATGTGCCAATGTCGCGCCCTGGGTTTGGAAGGAATCGGCATGAACCAGGCATGCTGAGGTGAAACCAAGGCTGACACGTGAAGGCTCCATTGCCATGTGATAAGGTCGTGCTGGTCGACTTTTCGCGAGATCGCATTCAAGCCCAGCCCAGCAGTCCAGCCTCTCGCAATGAGGGTCAGAAGATTTGCTCTGGCGGCGTCAGCACCTTGTGTTGCATGAGGCTGTATGGCTCCAAACCAACTGTGCATTGCCTCAGGCTGCATAGAAACCGAGACTATATGGAAGGCTTGCATGATGTCCCTAGTTCCTCAGTAGCCCCGACCAGATACCAATATCTTCGTACCTGTCAGCGCATCAGCTGCAATGCTGTCAGTCACCCTGCAGTTTATCATGGAAGCCTGCATTAGCGCATCATGCCAAACAAAAGACAGTCATGGCTCCGTCCCTGGAACTCCGTCTCCGTTCTTCCAGCTCGCCACTCACTGTAACATCCATCTGCACTTTGATCCACAGCATGGCCACACCACGGTCGCAGGAAAGGTACTTTTGTGTCAAGCGCGCCGTGCGGACTTGCTCGGTTCGAGTCATGCCGACTGCTTTGACTTCGAACATTTTGGGATACGAGACAGACAGGCCCTTGCTCAGTCGGAGAACTCCGTGCGAAAGCGAGCTATGTATGCAATCGTCGTGATTCTGGAGAACCTCGTGTGGTTCTTGCTTTGAGGCAGATGCGCTCTTCTTATTTTATGTAGAAAAAGTATGCGAGCAAATTTTTCTTCCTTTGCAACCAAGATGCCATGCGATGTTTTCTGGAGCTGTCTTAAATGACAAGTCGAGGATTTGGTTGAGTTGACCTGTCATTGCCATGTGATTTGGAATCGAAGCAGCTGCGTAACCGGGAATGGGGGAGACATCAATGGCGTTGATATGATGCGTCAAGGATCCACTGAGATGATGAAATTTAGACCTGACGATACGGTTTCGAGTCTAAATAAGAAAGATGTACGGAGTATACCTCAGTCGGCGGGTTTCGAGAAGCAAACTGGAAGATGTGGTAGAATACCGTAGAGAAAGAAGGAGTGGTTACAGTAGGGGAAAAAGACGCTAAGATAAGGATAAGCCACGCACAGACCAAGCGGGAAAATCCCATCGCATTCATTTTCCATCTCCGACATCAACAACCATTTTTTCCCCTCAATTTAGCAGCCAGGTGAAGCCTCCACAGTTGTCACCCGGACCATCGGCGACCCTCTCCTTGGATATAATTTTAGGTTCTCGACTCTACTGACTGTAATCATGGCGGACTCAATTGCCCCTGCCACCACAACGCCCAAGCCCGTCCACACGATCGTGCTCGATGCCGGCCCAATCCTCAAGAATACCCCGCCGCTCTCAACCCTGCTCGCCCAAAGCGAAGAACTCCTCATCACTCCCTCCGTTGTGAGCGAAATTCGGGATCCTGCCGCTCGTCAGCGTGTTGAGACCCTTTATCTCCCTTTCCTGAAGCAACGTACCCCGAGCCCTAAGAGTGTCGCTGTGATCAGCGAGTTCGCCCGCAAGACTGGTGACCGGGCCGTGCTCAGTCGAACCGATCTTGAAGTCATCGCTCTTGCCTACGAGATCGAGTGTGAGCGAAACGGTGGCGATTGGAGACTTCGCAGCGTACCCGGTCAAAAGCAGGTTAACGGCAAGCCGCCCGCTCCTGTTGTTGTTGCGCAGGAGGACAAATCTGAGCAGGAGGCCGACAAGCCTGCCGAAGAGAAAGTTGAGGAGGCCGCCGAGACCAAGGATATCGAGGTGGAAGCAGAGCGTACGGATGTCGACGCTGTCGCCGAGGAATTGAAGGACGCAAAGCTGGAGGACCAGCATGATGCCGAGAAGCAACCTGAACCAGAAGTTGTAATCTCAGAAAATGCTGAACCCCCGGCAGAGGACGAGGAGGAAGGTTCCGACGAAAATGATGACGATGATGATGGCTGGATTACGCCCTCGAACTTGAAGAAGCGGCAGGCCCGCGACGAAGCCAGTTCTGTGTCGGCGGCTCCTGAGCCTAAGGTCATGCAAGTCGCTACCATGACTACTGATTTCGCTGTACGTTCTTCGCCTAAGACAGCAGACTCATATACTGATCACATATGTAGTGCCAAAACGTTCTTCTCCAGATGAACCTGAATCTCCTCTCGACCACCACTCTGCAGCGTATCCGACACCTGAAGTCCTTCGTCAAGCGCTGTCACGCATGCTTTTCCACCACCAAGGACATGAACAAGCAATTCTGCCCGCGCTGTGGCAAGGATACGCTCACCCGGGTGTCTTGCACGACGAACTCAAATGGGCAGTTCACGATGCATCTCAAGAAGAACATGCAGTGGAATAACCGAGGAAACGTCTACAGCGTCCCCAAGCCCGTCCATGGCAGCTCAAACGGCAAGTGGAAGGGCGGCGGTGGAAAGGGTGGCTGGGGTACGGAGCTCATCTTCGCAGAGGATCAAAAGGAGTTCAGTCGCGCCACTGCGGAGCAGAACCGCAGAATGCGAAAAGAGCATGACCTCATGGACGAGGATTACCTCCCCAACATTTTGAGTGGTGAGCGTAAACAACATGGTCGTGTGCGCGTCGGAGCTGGTAGGAACGTGAACTCGAGGAAGCGGTAATGGCCCATTTGGGGTTTCGTTGATTTCTTTCTTCCTTCTTGCATTGATCGGAACTGGCGTCTGGCAAAAAGTTTGATGATCCTCTGGCTTCTTTCAGGGGTCTGGATGACTACGGGATTATAATGGTGATTGACTTCAATGACTTGGATAGACATACTACATTTAAAATGCACTACGCAATGGACATAGATGGAACCAGTGCCTTTCCATTAGTAAATGGTAGATTAGGACCGAGCTAAATCACCAATAAATGGGTAGCAAAAATGATATCACTTTTCCCACCTGTGAAATAATCGGGCACCGCACAAACTGGAAAGATAGAAAAAAGGGTTTCATCATCCATTCAAAGACCATTGATAACACCATTCGCCAATAAATAATTCAAAAGCACTGTGTGTATATCAAGCGACTACTGCCTCATCGTCTCGCTTATTACAACTGAGCAGCCTCCTTCTCTGTAGGGTGGGGTTAGCTGTGATCAAGGCATGTGCGGTCTCGGGAGAGCTCGTACCAGGCTGCTGGGTGAGAAGCAGACCGTATCTCTTCTTGAGGGTAACACGGTGTCTGTGCGGAGAGACGCGATGTCAGCACTTGTTGAACGTGATGAAGATGAACGATCCTCTTGGATTCTGTTATCCGAACGCACCTGGAGTACTTGTCATCGGGAGAGAATCTGGCAGGGTGGGCCGACTTGGTGGTGCGACCATCAAGGACCTTCTTCAAGGTGTAGATCCGCTTGCCATCCTCGCCGAGAGTGTACTATTTCACCAGTCAATTTCCCTGCTAGACAGAAATCCTTGTGGTGCACATGACGAGTTGTGCGGACATACCATAAGATGCATCCTAGAGTCGAGCGGTTAGCACCAACATTTGCATTTGAATAATCTCATTCCAGTAACAACTTACTTGAATGAGTGTTCGAAAACGGTTGTCGATTTATAAATAATGGCAGAAACGAATGTCGTCGCGGGGTTAACGTTCAATTGCAAGAACAATCTTCAACAGCTCCGAGTCCGCAGGAAATTTTTGGCGCCGCAGAAAAACGCACGGGACTCGGCTCACCGCCTGGGGAAGGCTAGCTGAGTCAGCCGTCACACCCCATTTAAGGCTGGTCAAGCGAATATTTTTTTCCTCTCCTCCTCTTGTGTTTCTGAGTGTCGATTATCGACTTTTTTTGTCTGCACAACACAATCCTCGGATGTTGACAGTTAAGAGATAGGATCTCGGCTCTGATGCTGATGTGCATCTGCTATATCATACTATTATGATCTGGAAAGATCCTATCTATGCTATCGATTCCCTCATTTGTGTAATTTGACTCGTGCAGACAAATCAACCCAGATCTTAGGGAAGATTTCGGGTAAGCTTTAGCTAGCTAGCAAAGCAGCTTTGATCGATCGAACTTGCAAGCAAGAGGTGGTTCGGGATTCTATTCATTTTCTTCGGTGATGATAACATACCTAAAGCTTAGACAATGGCAACTTTGATTTCTTCGCTGTTGTCGATGAAGGCTTTATTTGACTACAACGGTATCTGAGAAGAATATGAATAGCATCCAGGGCGCTCTTGCATGCAACAAGCATCATGGCTGTTCAATCTCGTAAACGAAGAGTTGCCTGCTGACTCTTCATCAGTAGTTAGAAATCAATCTATCGAGTCTCATCAAATCAATTTTAATTTATACGTACCATATGGCTTCTTCATCTCCTGTTCCTAACTCTTCCCGTGGTGCTAGCTCTGGCCCTGCTAGTATCCAGACCGAGTCCCAGAAAAGTGCATCGCCTGCTCGTCGTTCGCGGCCGCCGCGGCCCAATTACAAACATATCCATCGCTTCCCTCTCCCCGTTGATGTCCATCCTTTGCCGCCTCTGATCCCTCATAATCCATTGTCGATTGTCAGCGTGCTGTTGTCCTATTTGACATACCTCATCGCACCACCCAAACAGCATGTCTACGAGGCTTATTTTGACTCTGCGACGTCATCTGTCCATGTCACGGACCCGAAGGCCATCCGAGCTCTCTGGGAGATGGGTTTCTTTGGCAAGGGTAATCTTAGTCGGAGTGAACCGAGCTGGCTGGAGCGAGAGAAGAAGCGGCGCGGATTGCTCGGTGGCACTACAAGTGAGGAGGTCACCCGGCAGCGCCGGACAGAACGTCGCGAATTGAAGATGGATCGAGCTCGCATGGAGAAGCTGGCCATCCAAGAACGACTGAAGGCCGAAGCAGCCGCCCGGCAAGGCGACAATTTGTCTGTCGAGCAGCCCTCTCAATCGCCGTCCGCAGACACATCGGCAGAGAAGTTCTCACTGAGAAAAGCCAAAGAAGCGAGGCTGTTGGACTCGCAGCGCTCAATCACACAAAATGGCGAAGCGCGCCCTTCCAACACACCCGGAGAGCAAATCTCCAATGGTAGCGGCAAGACCGTTCGATTTTCCCCGGTTGTGCAGGCTAAGGAGTTCATCTCCGACTCGGCTATCCTGCAGCTTCCGGAGGTGATAGCAGAGGAAGACAAGGCCGGCGGTGCAGAAGAGGAGCCCATCTTGCAGAACGAAGAGCATCTTCACCTGTCGAACGAGGAAGCCTTCTTTCTCGCCTACGGACTTGGTGCACTGACGATCCTGGACGACACACGCGAAGCCGTCATAACGATTTCGACTTTACTCCCCCTATTCTGCCAGCATGCCGACTTCCCACCCCGTGATTCGTCCTCGGAGATGAAGCCAGACGATACTTTCCTGATCTCTTACGTCGTGTACCACCATTTCCGGTCTCTGGGATGGGTGGTGCGATCCGGTGTGAAGTTCGGGGTTGATTATCTTCTCTACAACCGTGGCCCGGTCTTCTCACATGCCGAGTTTGCGGTCGTCGTCGTTCCTTCCTACGTTGACTCCTACTGGTCAGAGACTGAGGAGCGCCGGAAGCACTGTGAAAAGCAAGTGTCTCGCAGCTGGTGGTGGCTGCATTGCGTCAACCGTGTTCAAGCCCAAGTGAAGAAGAGCTTGGTGGTTTGCTATGTGGAAGTGCCACCGCCGGCTTCGTACGATCTGGACGAGCCATCAGAGAATGATATTGGGAGACTGCTTGCTCGGTACCAAGTTCGAGAGATGGTGGTACGCAGATGGGTGCCTAACCGTACTCGTGACTGATCCTGTGTGCTTCCTTTCCTTCATCTTGTATCATCCTGACTGAGCAGTGACCTGGTGTTGGATGAATACTTACTTTGTAATTGCTCCATTCTGGCGCAAGCTGTACTTCTTAGCAAACTCCAGCAATTATGTACAATATCCCGTTATGATGGATACCATGCTCTGTTCCTGTATATCTGATCCTTGCCTTGACCACTCGTACAATCATCATGATCTAGACTCAAAGCGGTAAAATTGATCATGCATCACGTGATACACGCGTCTCGCGTTTTGTGGTTCCGGAGCGCAGTGATTTGGATGTCATCGACTTCGACTGTCCGGAACTTCGATGCAGCCTCGGCGCAACATTCCTTGTATCTCTGAATCTGGGCATGGGAACGATGTGATAATACTCATTCAAAGGCCTTGATTCTACGGAGTGTACGGGACTATGGAGACCCAAGAAGATAGCATCGATATCGCGAGGCTGCAGCGCGTCGCGTTGGGCCAGGTGAGTGGTGACCACTTCAGTGGCGGCGGCGTCTCCGATCCAGTCTCCGCATCGGACTAATTCGATTGATCTTGGGCAATTTGAAAGGAATCTTTACAGTCGCAATCAATGACAGAGAAGTCTGTATTGATTGATCAAGACGACGGTCGACAAGGACTTCAACAGCAATTGCCGACCGACGACGGACAGGGTGCGCAGATATCCTCCGAACCTGTGTCAACTGCTTCGTCATCCAGTATAGCACAGAATGGCACCAGTGTGAGCTCATCAAAGCTACCCTCTTTCGAAGACCGCCCCAGCAGCCGCGCGGCGACTCAGCTGGGTAAGATGGGCTCCACAGAAACGCTCCCGTCGGATACCCAGTTGATCTCCCAGCGCGTGTACGATGAGATCATTCGCAAAAACCAGGAAGACGGCCCTGTCGTGAACCACGACATTAATTTTGGGGATCAAGCTACACTTATGACCCTGCATGAAGGGGACAGCGGCCATCTCGACCTATTGGCGGGTTACGACAACGTTAATGCAGAACTGGTCAACATTGACGATAATGATGACCGGAGCAGCTCCAAACTAGGGGAGTCATCGCCTGCGCATTATCAGTCAAATTTGTTTCCCGAATCGCAGCGATTCGTGATGAAGACACCTGCGACTGCTGTGAAGCGGGCTCATTCAGACGGCCTTGCTACCATTTCGCCCACTGTCTCACGGAACCCTCTTGCGACGGAGATTGGGTCGAGTGGTGGGATCATGGCTTTAAGCCAAGTGTTCAGGGCTACCCAGGCACCTTCCTCCCCGCTAGTCAATCGCCAGCAACATTCTGATCTTGTATCGGACCGGCCCTCACCCAACATCCCGATTCAGAAACACCCTCTCGCCGCAAATCTGTCATCCCCGTACGATCGAATGGCGGCAACCTTCCCGCGGGACTCTTCAGCGCACAAGCTCAAATATATCTCTATGCAGGAATCTCAGGCGAATCGTGATAAACTGTTGAATGAGAGGATGACCCGTTCGGCGGATCCTGTGTTCCCCGGTGACCCAAGCGATGACGACTTTGGCAAGGAGCCTAGCTTTGTCGAACGCATGAGGCGGCACCGCACGATAAACGAGGAGATAGCACCCCAGCTTGCAGGTCTTACGGCACCTGCAAGGTCGGAGGGTAGCCGAAGCAGACAAGCTAGTAAGGGCTCGTTGTCACCACCAGGGGACTTGGGTCTGCAAGTTTGGAACGATCAGTCTATTGCAGAGAACGATGGTGAGCAGAGGGCAGCCGCAGATTCCACTGTCCCGCAGCGGGGTGGCTCGAGCAAAGAAGAGACTGAACAAGAGCAAGAAGACAATAGGGATCAGTCCATCCCACCATCCACGGAGCATATTCCTGCGACAGAGGAAGACAAAGAAAACTGTCTTGATCTAGCAGCAACGCCTGTTGCCGCCACCACTAGCGCACATGATCGTCTTTCGCAGGCCCTCGCCTTTGATGGTAGTACTTCACCCGCTCATGGAAGCCCAGAAAAGCAACAGCTTCAGCCACACCTAGCTCACAACATCGCTCACTTGGACGAGCCCTATGAGCACGGCAGGTCGTCACAGATATCAATCGTCAAAGATTCTCAGCGCTCTCCTAGGCAGAGGGAAGCCGACGCAGAAGTCGAGACGAACCGCAGCCGAAGAACATCACATTGTCCGGACTCTCAGGTTCAGATCGATCCTACATCGGACATTGACAGGATCATGTCGTCGCCCACGAAGCAAGTCCGCTTGCAGTCTTCCCCGCCCGCTGAATCGCGTCGTCTTCAACTGTCTTTTGAACGGGGTGAAGTCCAGGATATAAATGTTGGCGAATCGATATCCGGCTGGCCCCAGCGCTCTCCCACACCGAAAGCCACGCAGCCTCTAGAGGGCAGCTTACTAGATTCGAGTAATACAGTGTCTCAGCAGCCCAGAGTTGTAGGTGACAAGCCTTCAACCTTTGATTTTCGGGGTAAATCATCGTCGATGCCCTCTCGCGTGGCTGAAACCCCAGTTCCCCCTATGGACCTTGCGGATGCGGTGCCAACGACCAGCATTCCGGAGACCAGTCCCAACCGACTGGGAAACCAAGGATGGCCCAACGACATGAACAATAACGAGACAGCGGATCAAGAAGACGATGATCTCCCGCCGGTTTATCAAGCCGCGCATGAACGGGCATCGTATTCGCATCGGGTCGTCTTGAACAGCTCCTCGCCTTCGAAGCCATCCTTGACCTCAATTTCGAAGCTCCTATCAAGCCCGAGTGGGAGGCAACGGAGGGCACTTACGGAGATTGCTGCTGATGCCTCACCGAAAGGAGGGACTGGGGCTTTCAACCCAGACATTGATATTATGTCAGCCGAGGACTGGGAGTTCAAAGCTGCAGTTGCCAGGCATCAAGACTCGCCGAGGAAGAAACGCCGAGGCAACAACGGACAGGGTGTCATTGCTTCTGATCCTATTCTTCCGGGGACTCCCCGTCTTACCAGTCGGTTTGTACCTCTTCAACCTGTTTCCGAAGATCTTGTTGAACCTGCGAGGACGAGAACCGTGACTGAGGTGCAGATGGACATGCAGCCGGACGCACAGCAGGAAAATTTGCAGAGCAAAGCAGCGAAGGCTTATCAGAGACGCTCTAGACCTCCTCGGAGCGCGGACAGTGTGTGGGATATGGACGATTCTCCTCCGCGAACCTTCGTTCCGCGCAAACACCGGTCACGATTGCTGTCTCGTTCACGACTGTTGAATCGACAAAGGTCTGTAGAGACTGAGCGAGGCGGATCACCGAGCAAGGAGCAGTCGGGGATTGCGCAGCAACGCCAAGCAATCAGCCCTATGCCTGAGGAACCACGCAGCGATATCATCATTCAAGATCCGATAGAGACGCCGGCCACGGGCAGTCCTGCCACGGATAATGTGCCTACTGTCGGACCGGCCATGCCGTCGTTGACTGAGGAAGTCCCAGTCGCAGCAAACCAGGTCTTCGCTCCCTGGTGTGGAACAAAGCGTGCGTACTATCCGGCAACGTGTTTTGGCAAGCCATTCGGAACGTCGCAGTCTCGGTATCGGGTAAAGTTCGAAGACAGTGCACCTGTGGACATTCCAATGGGAGCTGTCAAGAGATTGGAACTCCGTCCCGGCGATGCCGTAAAAGTGGACATGCCGAACGTGCCCAAGGTCACGCATGTTATTCGGAGCTTTGTCCGCAAGCTGAGCATAGACGAGATTGAACAGGGCGCCGCGAACGGGGTGATTCCCATGACGGATATCTATGGCTATTCAGCTGTGATGGTAGGCCCCAAGCAGCGCAAGAGTCTTCCCAATGCCGGCTTGGCCGTCACTGAGAGCCTCATTGAAGTGCCAATCTCCAAGATCTACCTCGACACAATTTTGTGGAACCAACTCAAAGATCGCTCCTTCACCTATATCTCCGAACCAGTGTTTCTTGAGCGCGGCGCTCCAACACCATCGGAGAGAATTTCCACGCCTATCTCCTCTCCTGGTGCGCGCCTGTCACGCAGCATCCGCTTCTCAAATGGTTTGTTCGCCGGAATGGTCTTTGCTGTCTCTTTTGGCGACAACAACGAGGCCAAGGCTCGCGTGGTAAGAATGATACTAGAAAACGACGGGCGCATCTTAGAAGATGGATTCAACGAGCTTTTCGATCTACCGCTGAACGCCCCCGTCGCCACTCCCACCAAGCAGCCACCCACGGAATCGAACACACAGCATGACCTCCTCCAGCTCAGCAGCAGCGCCGCAGACGTAGGCTTTGCCTGCTTGATCGCAGACAGACATTCTCGCCGATCAAAGTACATGCAGGCTCTAGCGCTTAACCTCCCATGTCTCTCAGACCGCTGGATTGAAGACTGCGTCGCGCGAGGCCGGATCATCGACTGGGAGATATACCTCCTCCCCGCCGGAGAATCCACATACCTCAACGGAGCGACCAAATCACGAATCCTAACGCCGTACCCGGCCACCGAGGCACGACTCTCGGAGACCATCGCCGGAAGACCTAATCTCCTGAACGGGCAGTCCGTTCTCCTAGTCACAGGACGCAGTGGCCGCATCGACGAGGAGCGACGCAAGGCCTACCTATTCCTGACCTATGCTCTCGGGGCCTCGCGGATCGAGCGTGTCTCAGACTTGAAGTCTGCTCGAGCCATCCTAAACGCACAGACTGAGGACGGGCCCGTCCGCAAGCGCAGCTGGGATTGGATCTACATCGATGACGATGACAAAGCATCTGCGAGAGCGATGGCCCTGAGCTCGGCGGGAGTGTCTGGCGCTGGCCCTAACTCGCGCAAACGGAAGCGGACCAAGCTCATGGAGTCGGTAACTGGCGACGATCTTGGGTTGAGCACGAATGTCAGGATTGTGGGCAATGAGTTCGTCTGCCAAAGCTTGATTCTGGGTCGATTGTTTGACCAGTGAAATGATGACTGTTCTCGTGGCATGTGATATGTCTGGGATATGACTTTTCCAAACCGCGTTGGCTATTCTCGGGGGTTTTCAGGGATAGAGGGGATTTGAAAACTTCGCTTTGGGCGGCGTATTTCGGGCTTCTTCCTTTTGTGTTTCGGGGCTCATGATCAAAACTTTCTCTTCTGCGGGATGATAGGAGTATTTAAAGTGCATATACCCTTCTTTGTGAGAATTTTAGCTGCGCAATCCACTATTTCAATGATAACAATCATGACAATTGCTCTTGAACCACTTGAAGAAGCGTTCTATTTGCACATGTAGGCGGAAACAGAGACATACTGGAGACATCTTATCTTATAATACATGAAAAATGGAAAAGTAAACACCCAATATAATAAACCCCATGACTGTACGCAAATGCCAGAGACGAGAATGAGAAAGAAAGAAAAAGAAATTCACTGCATGCCAGGGACCGAGTAGGTCACATCACGGACGTAGAGCAAGCAAGCAAAGTAGCCGAGCGAGCAAGAAAAGAAAGGCGAGAGTGGACAATAACCGGCTACGAGATCAAGTCCAAAAACCCGGCTCTCACAAAGAAAGACCCAACGGCCCGGGAATTTCCAGGTTCCCGTCTATTTCCTCGCCTTCTTAGCGGCCTTCTTGGAGGACTTCAAGCTCTTCATCTGAGCGACGCGCTCAGCCTTGGCCGTTCTCTTGCGCCACGCCAGCCAGCGGTTCTTGCGACGATGGGGCAGGGCGGTGATGCCGGCCTTCTCCGCGGCACGACCGATCTGCCAGTTCGCCTCACGGTACATGTAGCCGGGGCGGAACCGCAAGCCGGCCTCCGCATCGACCGCGGGCACATCCCCGACCGTCGTCCCCTCCGCGGTGACCTCGGCCACCAGGTCGGTTTGCTTTTGGTTGACGGGCAGGTCGGCGGGATCGAAGCGCACGGCGACGCGGCCGAGGCGGCGGCGGGTGGGCGCGTTGCGCGGCGTGGGCAGCTTGCCGTCCTTCTCGAAGACGACGCCGATGAACTTGCGGTCCGGGTGCCGCTCCGGGTCCAGGTAGTACCGCACGTAGCCGGACTGCATGCTGTAGATCGTGTGGTCCCGCCCCATGCCGCAGTTCTCGCCGGGGAACCACTTCGTCCCCCGCTGCTTGAAGATGATGCACCCGGGCACCACGTACTCGCCGGCGGAGCGCTTCGCGCCGAGACGCTTGCCGGCCGGATCGCGCGAGTGTCGGTTCGCGGTTCCTTGGGAGGCGTGCGAGGCGTGACGGATTTGTTGCTGGGTGAAGAGGTTGTTGAGGAGAGAGGTCGTGGTGGGCGGGAGGAGGCGGGTGGTGTTACTTCTTGTTAATGTCGTGGAGGACGAGGAGGAGGGCTTTGTGATGGCGGAGTTGAGGACGGGTCGGGAGAGGATCGAGGTCGAGTACGAGGCGACGCGAAGGGTGGAGGGCGCAATGGCTCGTTCTAGAGCCCGGAAGGGCGCTAGAACTCCACGGGGTTGGAACATGGCGTGTAGTAGCTGGAAGGGAGACGACCGCAGCCTGGTTCTCTTTTTCCTCGGGCGTGGAGAAGGGGAAAATGAAGCTATCCAGACCGGCGGCTTCCTTTTTTTTGCGGGATGAGAAAAGGCTTGGCATGGTTGTGTTAGTCACGTGCTGCTATGGGAAGGGCCAACTGGCCGTCTTGGATCTATACAGTACTATTAATGACAAGTTCCCGCTTGCACGATTTCTAAGTGGACTTTTATTTCCTTGCAAACTTGACGAGGGATATACAATCGCTCAAAATGCTCGGCTGGATCAAGTCTTTCGGGCTCCTCCTCCTCCTGGCGTCTGTTGCCCACGCCCAATTCCAGTTCTTCGAGCATATGTTTGGCGGCGGCGGGGGCGGCGGCCATCAACATCAGGCTCCGCAGAATGTCCCTAGCGATAGTTCTCGGTATCAGAGTCAATGGGAGTCAGGTGAGTCTGCGGATGCTTATGGTCTTGTCTTTTGCATATGTTGCAGATTAGAGCTAACATGACTTACTTGTCCTCCAACTTCAGCCCACTGCGATCGCTACCTGTGCCCTGGAACCCTAGCATGCGTCCACTTTCCCCACCACTGTCCATGCCCGCATCCCGATGTCGAAGAGAAGATTGAGCTAGGAGAAGGGAGTGCGGTCTGTGTCTCTAAGGGAGGATTCAAGGCCGGCGAGGCTGTGCGCAAGGTCGAATTGGCGCGCAAGGGTCTTTTGTGATTGTATGCGGAATATCGGTGGATTACTACATTCTGTTAGGCAAAGCAACGGCTAGAGAGTATGCACTGGGACCTTTCGCAGATTGAGAACAGGCTGTCGAACGCTGCTTTCCTTGACATCCAGGGAGCATTTTGACTGGATGAGAGCGAACGTCTGATCACTGCGCGTTACGGCCATCAATACCCTTCAACAACTCTGCCTCAAATGCTCAATGGAAACAATGTGGCATATGTGTCTCCCCAGTTTTATGTCAGTACAGCGAAATCGATGCTCCGGACAGTCCACTATGATGCGCATCCAACTGATTTAACTCGGGATTGATATAGGCTCCCGGGTTGCTGATGGCGCATCATGTACAGCACTTGCGAGAGGATCTAGCGATGATCGACAAGTGGGTAAGGTGCTTTTTGAGGACTCAGCACAAGTGTATTGTTCCACCGCAGTTAGAATGCCTTGGCTATGACCAATTACAATCTGAATAATCTCGGAGCAGTGCTATCTATGCTACTCATGTAAATGTAGAATCGAGCCTTCATGTTACAGGAAGTGCGGCGAACTGATAACGATCTATAGCCGCCGAGGCGGGCCTGAAGCGAACAATTCCGTCATTAACGCCGCCATCCATGAATTTCTCTTTCCACGATCTAATCATCACTCAACTCGTCGCGCCGTTTCACACAATTTTCCTCCACCAAAATAAGTTAATCCTCTACGTACTCTACTATCACTAGTTTTGTTTATTGCAAGATGTGGAGTGCCATACTCCGACCATCGCATGCGCGATGCTTTCGAACGCCCGGCCGGGCATTCGCCAGTTCACTGAATCGCGGACGAATCAATCCTCGTGGCCCTCGCAATTCAATTCGCAGACCAGAACCCATCAGACGAAATGCCCCATCATCGCAATCCTCCGATCCACAACAACAACAACAAAAACCTCCTTCCGACTCACCAAATCCCCACTACAATCCCTCTCAGAACACACTACTTGCCCCCGTTCACATCCCGGAAGATCCTCATGGAGTGATCAAAGAGTGCCACCCGGCAACATCCATTCTGGCAAATTCGGGCCTGGTTGTCCAGCGCCAGCTAGAATTGATGAATGTCTTGATGTGAGTGCTTTCCCTCGCTGTACGTGTCTACGGAGGGCTAACATTGGCTCTCTCGGTCGCAGCGGGTTTGAACAAGCCAACAAATATGTTATCATGGATGCCAATGGAAACCATATCGGTTTCATGGCAGAGCAAGAGAAAGGCATGGGAAACATGATGGCGCGGCAGTGGTTCAATACACATCGAAGCTTCGTCACGCATGTCTTTGACAAACATGAGAATGAAGTGTTGCGGGTGAGTCTTACATGATGAAAGCAATTTAGCTCGAGTACTAATACAGCAACTTAGTTCCACCGCCCATTCTCATGGATCAACTCCCGTATTCGCGTCTACGACCCTCTCGAGGTGGCTAAGAGTGCCCATTCCACGTCCACGGCCCTACAGACCAATTCCGCGAACTCACTAGCTCAAGCCTCCGGTGATTCGAATGCCCGCGTTTCGTCCCTCGGTTTCGATGACATGCGAGTCATTGGCGAAGCCCAGCAGCAATGGGCCCCGTTACGTCGCAAGTACAACCTCTTCACATATCACCATTCGCCCAATTCGGCCTTAGACATGGGAACGAAGACGCTACCACTCGAACAGACCGGCTTGTCAAGCTCTCAGCAAATGCAGCTGGTCCAGTCTTCGCAGGCTGGTCAGGCTACAGGTGCCTATAATCAGTTCGCGTATGTCGATGAGCCTTTCCTGTCGTGGGACTTTGCTCTCCGTTCCGCTGACAGCCGGCTGATTGGATCTGTCAACCGGAATTTTGCCGGGTTTGCACGCGAGTTTCTCACGGACACTGGTGTTTATGCCTTGCGGATGGACTCCGCCTCTCCGAGCGAGCAGACTCCCGAGCAGTCCGGCGCCGTGACTGCAATGAGTCTAGACCAGCGCGCTGTCATGCTGGCCACTGCAGTTAGCATTGACTTCGACTACTTCAGTCGCCATAGCGGCGCCGGCGGCTTTGGCTTCATGCCCCTCTGTTTTCCTGGTTTCGGCGGAGAGGCTGCCGCCGGGGGAGCTGCCGCGGGAGGTGCCGCCGCAGGGGGTGCTGTCGCTGGCGAGGCCGGGGCCGCTGGAGCTGCTGGGGCCGTTGGAGAAGCTGCTGCAGGTACTGTCGGTAGGGCTGGGGCTGGGGCCGCCGGCGGCTTGGCTGATGGTGCAATGGCAGGCGCAGCAGGTGCCGGCGCCATGGCCGGATACGACGCCATGTCGCGGGGCGTGGGAGGAACTCCACCAGCTTCTCCTCCCGACTCTCAAGCTGCACCTGGGGGTCAGCAACCTCCGGCACAAGGTCAGACGGGTCCATACGGGGACGTCTGGGCAGATGAACAACAAGAGAAACCCGGGGATCATAGAGAAGACCCGTGGGCGGATGAGGAAGATGATGGAGGCGACGGGGGGGACGGTGATAGTTGGGACTTCTTCTGAGGAGCATGATGAAGCCTTGACTCGCGGTTTACAGACGTATCACAAGGCATGTTGAGCTGGTATAGCTTCGACAACCCAAAGAACATGCTGTGAGAAGACCGACCACCCAGAGGTGAAAGTTGTCAACAGTGTAAAGGCTTGTCAAGTCATTGGCAGCTAATGGACCAAGAATGACTTCGATCTGGATGACGATGAGGAACGATTAGCATATCAAGAGCATTGTGAATTGCTCTCTTGAACCGCTCGAGCACTTGGCATAGTTAAGTACTCCGGGTATCCAAGCACTCCCACTACAAAGGTGTTGACGAGATATGGAAAATTAGGCTAGTAGCTTATACTCAGATGCAACATGAAGGCGTCGCCACTCAATGTATCTAAATTCTATTCATAAATGTGTATAGACTATGGCTTATACCAAGTAGCTCTATCAAGCAATTCTACGGAGACTAAGTGTTCATTT